TTTACTCTTTACAGCGGCATTTGGAGTTCTCATTTTCATTTGGATTCCACAAGTGTCAGCTGAATGTCAAAGTATGAATTCATGCCTAAAGCAAATGTCACTTTTTTCATTTTACCACTTGCCAAACAAAAAAAAAATGTGTATCTTTTCTTATTAAAAATAAAAATTAAAGCTGTTTTTCTTTATGCGACAATTGCCAAAAATAACTAAATTAAAATAAATTATTTCCTTTTTTTCTTACAAATTGCGCATTGAAAAAATTTTATATATAAAAAGAAATTAAAAAATTAAACGCAAGAAATACTAAATGTTTTAAGCTTTCCGTGTTTAATTATGATAATCTTATAATTTCAAGTTTATTTTTGTTTCGAAACACTCACACATGCCTACATAGTCGTGGAATTTACTATTCGCTTAAATGCAAATACTCGTGTACTATGTTTTTTTTATTAGCTAATATACATATGTAAGAGAAATGCTTTCAAAAACGGATAATTTGAAAATTTTTCGAGAAAAAAATACACAAAATATTAAATAAGTAGCCACATCGAGACATTTTTTAAGATACTGGCGTCATTTCTGAATTTTTAATTTATTTTATTAAAGTTCTAAGGCCTACAAAACTTCTATTTTAATCAAACAAAATGCGCCGAATTTTTTTTTATTTTGTAGTTTTCTTCGATCTTAAAACCAAAGCTATTTTTTATCACAAACACATTAGTAGAAAGATATATGGATGCAGCATAACCTCAACATGTTATACTCTGCCGGCATAAGAACCGAATTTTATAAATCTATTTGAGACTAAAATCTATGAAAGGATTGAACGATGTAAAAATTTTAATATTTTTGGTAGTTCAGTAAAATTTTAGAGATATACCAAAGTTTTCCCAATTAAAGCAAACATCCAAAGCATACGAAGCTCGCATCTATTTCAGCGAAAGCCGTTTGAAGTTCTTATAAAACTTGAACATTAACATTCAACTATTCTTTTCTAAAAAATAATTAAAAAGTATTTTTGTTTCTTGTAAATTTTTATGAAGACTGTAATGTTTCAATATTTTCTTACTCTTTACTTTACATCTTTATTTATCCTACAAACACAAAATTATTACTCACACATCTTTCAGTTAAATACTATGTAGCTTTTTCTGCTTGCAAGCATTCTTTCCCTCACTGTTTATTTACAAAAATAAAATTTAAAAAATTATACTTGGAATTTATATACATTAGGGTGGTCCATATTTTTTCAGACATCCCTCCAAAAAAAAATTTAAAATATCGGAAATAAGGGGACCGTCATTTTTGCATTTTGAAATCGTTAGCATTGAACCGTGTCGCCGGAGCTTTATTATATTAGGAAAAAAATTTTTTTTTGTTACAAATAAATATTTTTTTATCAAATGAAAATATTACCCTTCAAAAATTTTCAAACAATAAAATATTTTTAACACATTCTTTATAAAAAATGGTTAGTAAAATTTTTGACTTAAATTTGTATCATAATTCTATTTTTGGAATATTTCTGACAGAAATATTTCTACTCGATCAAAAAATATTTATTGATAAAAACGTTTAAGCCCCGACGGCACGGTTAAATATTAACCAATTAAAAAAATTACCGGTTTCTCCATTTTCTATTTTCTATAATTCTGGGGGTGGCAGAAGAAAAGGTGGATTTTTCTATGTATTTTTGAACCATCCTAATGTAAATGTATGTGTTATGTTAATGCCACCAAATTGAATGTATACAATATTCAGTTGTTACTTTCGAATGCAGCACGACAAAAACAATACACATTTTTTTACATTTTTTTTAATTATAAAGTAAAAGTAATTATAAGTAAAAAAATATTATTTTGCATTATGTAAACTCAAATGTTCTTGGCTATATCTTTGACTACGTCCTAAACTTTTTGACATCACTTAGTAACTAATTAAATAATACAGTTACACAACATTTCTTCTCGAAGTTTTTCCGGTTTTTTTTTATTATGAAGACGCTCTTTCAGAAATTTAAGCGAAATTTATACTCAATTTCGAAGTTGGTGTTTCGGAGAACCAAAAATGACACTGAAGATGACACAGTGCCGAAACCGGTTTGTCTCTAAACCAAATTCGGCAAGGGATGACGGAAAATCATTCCACAATACATCGAAATTTATGCTTTTGTTTTACGAAAGTTATGAAAAACTATAAATTTCACAATTTCCCTGGCTTTGCAAAAACTGGTTCTGATGTTAACGGCTATGAAGAAAAAATATATGAAAAAATCGAAAAATAAAAAATTTACAGAACTTTAAAATTGAAAAAGTCTTAAAAGCAAACACTTGTAAAAATTTGTTACTGAATTTCTTTTACCCAATACCTCTAACTGATCTTAGAAGATCTAAAATTTTCGAGAAGGCTACAAGTTTTTAATTTTGAAAGCGGTTTTTTTGCAAACTTGAAACAAGTTTATGTTGTACAATTTTTATTGAATTTATATTAATTTTTAGTTTAGAGTTTGGAGATTTTTTTTGTGTACATTCCAAAAATTTAGTTCTTTAAAAAACGCCTTCTTGAAAATTCCAGGATTTGAGATCATTGTATAAAAAAAATTTTGCCAATTATTTGTATAAGTATTTATTCTTACGATTTTTTAATTTTCAAAATTCTGTACTTTTTCATTTTTTTTCTCTATATAGCCCCATGTATCAATTTTGAAACTACATGCAATAGTTTTTAAGATATGTATTCCAAAAATTAACTTTCAAACTTCGAGAAATTTTGAACTTTCAAAAAACTTCGATTTGACATGAATTGACATATGTACATATTTTCATAATTATTTTCTGTTTATGTAATAATATTTGTAGTTAATCAAAGCAAAATAATAAAAGTCATGCATGCTTAACATTTTAAGCCTTTTTAGCTTGAATAATTTTTTTAGATAGAAATTAAAAAAAAAAGTTCATCGATTCTGTGTTGTATGCAATACAATTCTGTGCTTAGGGCTCTTTTCAAAATGCGATAAAATCGTGTTTTAGTAGAAGCTACCGAAAATGCAAAACCCAGTATTTCGAAAAAAAACAACAATATATATATATAATAGACCTTAGTAGATAAACCAGTAAAAGAACTCAATCTGAAAAAAAAACGTTTCTTAGTTTGGGATGCAAATTTCTGGGAGTAACATCAATAAGTAAATAAATCGCCAGGAAAAATTGAACATATCGCTGGTTTCCGATGTTTTACGATTCATTAAATCGCAGTTAATTGAAAAAAAAAAATTATCATTTTCAATCCCAACCAGTGCAGTGCAGTCTTTTGAAATTCAGTTAGAGAAATACCTTTATATGTATTTCTCAATATTTAATTAGTCTTCTTACATTTTGTGTCGTAGACGGACGGTTGCCCCTTTTTGATAATTTGGTTAACATTCTCAACACTGGACGAAATTCGAAATTTCCGTATGATTTCCGAGAATGAAAAAAAAAAAAGTTTTTATAAACAAAAAAAAAAAAAAAAAATATTTCGAAAATAATGGGTTAGTTGAATCCAAGCCACGTTTGAGACTCACTACAGTCGATGTTTAAACATGGTTGAAATGAATAGCGTCCACTTAGGGATGTTAAAAAATTTGAAACATCGATGACATGCATCAGAACGGTATTATCGATGTCTCAATAAAATTTACTATACCATTTTGGCTACACCAAATTAAAAAATTAAAATATAGATGCAGCGATTGGTATTTCTGTTAGAGCTTCTCTCAAAATGCAAGGAGCACTTACCAATTGCCCGCCAACTTCGAGAATAACTATTCATTCAGTTAATTCGAAATTGTTAGAGAATATACTGGAATAATACTATGTATAAGTAAATCTAAAAATCAGTTATCAATTGTAGGATGAAAATCTTTTGAGCTATAGAAAATGAGTTTTATACGAATCGCATTAATTTAAAGTTAACTTAAAATAAAAGTAATTTAAAGTTAATTTAAACGTAAAGTGGGGGTTTTAAGTCCCCATTAAAATTTTTACGTTTATTACACAAAAATTTTTATTTTTTTGAAATTTTGTTAAAAGAAAAAAAAGATATTTTGAATGAGCATCAGACTCCTTTTAAATGAAAAAATGGAACAATTAGAAAAGCCAACAACAGTTTACGGGTACATGAAGTAAACGCTACAACTGGATGAAGAAGTCACTACCAGTTTCTAATGTTCATAAAGTTGCCAACCACTAAAGTATCATTTGATTCGCGTAGAAAAATTCGATTTTTTTATGTTTTGCTTATCTTGCTTTAAATGTATGTATGTGCCTTTGTGTAATTACTTATGTATGTGTATGTATATTGAATTTTTAGTTTGTAATTAATGTTGCAATGCAAAAATATTTGCATGAAATGTTCTGCACTGAATTTAAAAATAACTAAAAAAAAAATATTTAAAAATTTCTAAAAATTAAATATTTTAGTTTTATTCGAAAGTATTACCAGCGCATATATTAACTGATAACGTTTCCTATAATTCTCAACTGCGATGCACAGCACGTTCCATCTACTGCTATGAATGCGATTCCTGGACGGATGCACGTTGCAAGGATCCCTTCAACTATACGGCACTGCCGCGCGATCAACCACCGCTGATGACCTGCAATGGCTGTTGTGTGAAAATGGTGCGGCATTCTAAATCACGTAAGTGCTATAATATGAAGAAAAAAAACCCACATGCTGGTGTTAGCGGAAAATTGCAGATGGGATACCCCCTTAAAAAAAAAATTGTTTAATAACACTGGTCTACAAATTTCAACTTTTTTTCTGCGAATAAGACGGGACCTGGTGTTTCTGAACGGATTTTTCGTGCTGAACACGAATCCGGGGTCAAAAATGTCCCATCACGTCACGTTTTCGAGAAAAAAGGGGTTGAAACCCCTAAAAACAGCGTTTTTGGCCATTTTCGAAAAATTATAGAGCTGAACCCTGACGTGGTACAAATTTTGCATATATCAGAAATTAAAGGCTAAACCGTGCCCTTTCGAATGAGCCCTATGCCGAATTGATCGCGTGCACCCTTAAAGCAGGGGGTGTATTTGTGTTTAGGGGTGCAGGAAAAATTGATCACAGAAAGAATTTAATCTTAAACGGTCATAGAAAATTAATAATGCCAAGGTTTTAACTATATTAAAAGTCGCTGATTACGAATCTGCAGTTAGATTTTAAAAATTTAAGATGACGGGTCGAATATGGTGGATATAAAAATTGGACTCCTAGACACAAATACACCCCCTGATCTAAGGGTGCATGCGATTAATTCGGCATCATTCGAAAGGGCACGATTTAGCCTTTAATTTCTGACATATACAAAGTTTGTAGCACGTCAGGGTTCAGCTCTACAATTTTTCAAAAATGGCCAAAAACGCTGTTTTTAGGGGTTTCAACCCCTTTTTTCTCGAAAACGTGACGTGATGGGAAGTTTTGGACCCCAGATTCGTGTTCAGCACGAAAAATCCGTTCGGAAACACCAGGTCCCGTCTTATTCGCAAAACCCTTGTAGACCAGTGTAATTAAAAAAAAATGAATTTTTTTATAGCGGGTATGTTGTTATTGTAACTAATCAAAAACATGTCATGCCTTTTAGTAATTTATAAATTCTCTTTAATTTTTCTCTCTCTCTCTCTCACTCTCTTCCACCCGCTTATAGCCTACGAAGTTGTACGACGTATGTGTACGTCACAATTGCAAATAAATTTATTTATGGTCGATCATGTGTGCATGATGGAAAGTTCAGGCAATGGACATATGTGCTTTTGTGAGGAAGATATGTGCAATTCTAGTAAAAATTTATTGCAAAATGGTTCATCATACCATTACTTCATGATCTCTGCGCTCTCATTCATACTCTATTTACTCAATCGTTTCCAAATGCGTACGCAATTGCAGTCAATCGTTCAACAACAATTGCAAATACATAAACGAAAACAAAAAAAACAACAATCACCAAAACGAAAACAAACGCAAATAGAAAAACATGAACAGAACGTAGAAGAAGAAATAGAAAGCAAACAAAAACAATTATTAAATCAATCACAAAACACCTTCAATCCAATGCAACTTCAACTTCTAAACCAACACCAACACCAACACCAACATAAACCAAATAAGTTAAATGCAAAAAATGAAAATCAACAACAAAAACAAACATTTGATGAAAAAGGAAAATTCGCAGTTATCATTTATCAAGCGCAACCGAACATTGCATGTCCAATAAAAACAAATACAATAAACGATCGATATTCACATCCCGTACACAGATAGAGTGAAGCTACTCCAAAAACCCTACTACAACACAAACAATTGGCGAAATGGGGGAAAATAGTAGTACACCACAGACATAGAATCATATTTACATACATAAATGCCCTAGTGAAGACATACCTATAAACATATTTTCAATAATTTTAATTACATTAAGGAGTAATTAGCACACAATTACATGCATACATACATTCATACTATACTCGTATCCATACGCCCCGCGTTCGCTCTACACCCTCGCTCTTTCAGCCCCTTCTATTGTACACACACACACACACACACCACACTTTACACTTATTCTCTTTGCTCTAGAAAAGTTTGCTAAATTCTATAATTTAAATTTCTTCCCTATTGAGTACCCTTTCGTACATACTTACATAATTGCTATGAGAATTAGCATTAGTTAGTTAAACTTTTGTGGAAAATTATTTTATTTTTTTTACCATCTTCTTTTATGAAAAGTGTGTAGTACTCGTATTAATTGAATAGCATTGTGTTAATTTCAATTAAAATTTATGTCAATTACTTACTTAATTTGAGTGCATAATTTCGTGGTACTTTTAGCATTAGTTATGTAAACTATATTTATTTTTATTTCTTTTTTTATTAATTTAACTTATCAAATTTTAACGTATTGTTTAATGAAAAGAAAAAAGACGTAGTTAATAATTGTTAATTAATTTTTGTAGTAGTAATGCTAAGCATAATATACAAAAAAAAACACAAACAAATAATTTTATAAGTATTCAAATGAAAGCGTAAGTGATTATTGAAAACTCGAAACGGAAGCAGGATAAGTAACAGACTCATTTAACGAAAAATAAAATTCTAAGAATTGCATGCAGCTTTAGTGAACTACTACATATTGGAAGTAGCGCCAATGTTGCATACCGAGCTTCGTTGGCAACTATCGCAAATCTGTTAGCTTTCTACTTAACATAGAACAAGGTATGGTTCGTTGGAAGTATTTATTTTATTTTATTTTTTTAACTTACACTAAACTATCTGAATACTTGAGAAACACACAATATAAAATCTTCAATTGCATGTAGTATAAAAAGATACTTTTGCACTTACTAAGTAGACCAGAACTCTGTGCGAGAAATGAGCGTAGGTGAAATACTCGTACGATGAAATTTTCTTGATTTAAATTACATAGTTCTGTATATTCACATATCGCCACCTGAAATGCAAAAGGACGTAACAAACATTGTCGCTGAAATGCAAAAAGACGTAACTAATAAAAAATTCAAAATTCACTTTTTGACTGATATGTCCATCATATTTCATCGAATTACAACTCCCACATCATTTCATAAAAAAAATTATTAGTCTCGATTTTTTATGTTTCAGTTACGATGTTGTTACGTCTTTTTGCATTTAAGGTGACGATATATATATGCATGTACATTAGGGTGGTCCAAAAATAGTAGTCAGAATTATAACGCTCTCAAGCCCTAGGATTGTTTTATATCAAAAAAAAGTATACCCCTATTTTTTTATTTTGAAATCAAAAAATATTTAGAGGTCGCTCAAAGCGCTCAAAGTTTTCCATGTATTTTTATATAAGAAAAATAATATTTTTCGTAGAAATGGTGTAGAATTCTTGAAAATCAATATTTTTCGATCGAAAACTCTGGTTCTCTTCAGGAGACTTTCAATAACAATGCCTTATTGTTTATTTAACCATTTTTTAATACTAACGATTTTTTATTGGTCCCCCATTGCATTTTTCGGGGTTTTTGGCGGACCTATACATTATAATTGCGATGATGAAATGGTTAAATAAACAATTGGGTATTATTACTGGGAATCTTCTTCAGATAAACAGAGTTTTTTAGTAAAAAAATATTGATTTTCAACTATTCTATACCATTTCTATGAAAAGTTGTTTTTTCCCATATAAAATACATGGAAAACTTTACGCGCTTTGAGCGATCTCTAAATATTTTTGGATTTCAAAATAAAAAATAGGGGTATATTTTTTCGGTATCGAACAATCCTAGGCGGTGTGAGCATAAAAATTCTGACTTTACTTTTTCACATGCATATTTGGACCATCCCTAATGTACATACATAATTAGTTGTATAAAGAATAAATGTTGTTCGTTAGTAAGCGTAGCAATTGAATAGAGTTTATAAACATGTTAGCATATATAGTGATTGTCATAACCTTACGACACTCACATATGTATTTGCAGAATTTGAACATTTAACTTTATATATTTTTATTTTTATTATTTCTTTATAAAAATATAGTATATTCTGCAACAAAAGCCATATAAATCCAAGTTTCAATCTTTGTGCATTAAAAAAAAATTAACATACCTTCGTAGAATATTTCGAGCTTTTTACTTCGATTTCTTACAAATATTTTGAGTGTGCAGTTTTGTATCTTATTCAATTTTAGTACAATATAGTGCAAGTTTCAAGAAGGCACAAAATTCCGTTTCTTCCATATACACGACGATTCGACAATTTTTTTTAAATCCAGGAAATGAGCAACACCATTAAAAAGCTCGAAATTTTTACGTAAATTTGTTGAATATTTTTTAATGTTGCACAGAGATTGTAACGTGGATGTATATAGTTTTTGTTAAAGAATATACTAGATTTTTATAAACAAATAATTATAATTACTAAGAAAAATTGTCAAATATTGTCAATATGTGAGTGTCGCAACTCATGATAAGTACTATACTTTAGCGCAAATTTTGTTTTTAATAATTCCTGACATTCTATATAAAATTCTTTCCGAAAGAGAATTCGAAAAGTTTCCATAAAACAGAAAGATTAGGTTAGGTTAATCGCCCGACGTTAATAACTAGAGTAATTGGCCAAAAATTTTCAATTGCTGCATAACTGTAGGAGAGTCCATTGATTGAAGTTTACGCTCACTTTTCGCATGGGGTCAGTAGTTGAGTAGCATGTAAATAAGATATACGAAAAAAAGAAAGCAAACACACACACACAATTATAATATTACAAATAAAACTGCAAGTACTTAAAAAGGCTAACAGTGATTAAATACAAATACAATTAATAATAAAATTTATGAGCATACATACACACATTCATACATATGTATGTAAATACTTGTGTGTATGTATATCTATTAAAAACAAAAAATTTTAAAACTATTAATTATTAAAATAATAATTATTTATAATTATAATAAATAATAAACTATCAATACATTATCAAGTACTTAATACATACATATGTCACATTTACAGTTGTTAACTATTAATTACATTTAGCTGTTAAAGACACAAGGCCAGGCCAGCACTAAAGCTCGATAAAAGAGTGAGCGATAAATTACATCACTCATACGCCAAGGAAGACAGTACTAAGCTATATAAACAGTGACATTGTTAAATGCCAGTATTTAGTTTGACATACTTTCAGTTCACTTGCTGCAGTTACTAATTTTCTGTTTACGCTAATGTATGAAATAAAAATGAAAAAAAAATTGAGGCTAGAAAAGCTTTTTGCTTTGGAGAATCCTGAATAATAGATGGGCTTTATACCTCCCAACTATCCGAAAAGCTATTCAATTTCTGTTTTCATTTTTATTAGAAAATAAACTTCATTATACGTTAGTTTCCTTAACTGAAAAAGGCCTCGAGTACATTGAATACCTCGAAACTTGTAGTTGATCGTTGAACATTTCTAAAAAACATATTTCGTATTTGAAGAAGCCATTTTAATTAAAAAATTTTATTTCTGGCAATTAAAGACACTTAGCCCGTTGTTTTGATTTGTAGATGAACTTTTTGAAAAAGTATGTAGGCAGCTAAAATCATAGGCAGACGGCAGCGTTGATCCAGATAAGCTCGGAAATTAACTGCAGTTGATCCGGATTAAGTAGTGCAGCTACTCGTCAAAATGAATACGGAAACGAAGGGGCATTTTCGGTGACCAAAACGGTCAGCTGTTGTCTATTGTGAATGAAATATAAACGAAGCAAACAAGTGGGCGAAAACACGGGTTAGTTTGAAATCCGCGATAGTCGAGTGGTCAGAGCTTTACAATTTAGTACGTTCTCAATTTTAAAAATTTATTAAATTTTTATTATTTTTTTTTTAGTTTTATTTTATTTCACATCTTTGTTTATTTTATTATCAATTTATTGAAACTATTTAATAAAATAATTTTTTAAATTTCAAATTTCGAAAAAGCTCACAGCAACTATAATTACATTGAAAAATAAATAAAAGTAATAATTCAACTAAAACAAATTAGATGAAATTTCTACTGGCTTAATCCGCATTAATGTCGCCTGCCAGTGTACAATTTTGATCGCACCAACTGTGCCGTTAATCCAAATTAACGTTGCCGCCTGTCTATGCTATAATGTCTTGCTAGTGAGTAGGATAAAGAGTGAAAAATTAAGTGTTAGTTACGTAAATGAGAACTGAGACCATATCGTATAACTCCTGATTTAGAAAAAATAGGAATGTTTTGAAAATTTCCCTACTTAATTTTGATCGGTTCACGATCTACCGTCTGTTAACTATGTTATATTATAAAGAACAATATAAAACATTTTATAAATAAATTTATTAAAATTATTTTTATGTCTTGGTAGTTAAGCTCATAATTGGCAAAAGGTATAAAAAGTTATGTTTCACTTAAAAAAGTAAAAAATACAACATACAAAAATTACATACACAAACATAAAATATGTTTCTCTTAATTAAGTCATTTAACGGTGCTTTTTATATTCCTAAAACATTTGTAGAACTATATATGCTTTTTGCGATTTGCTTCAATTTTCTAAACCGTAAAATTACTGGTATTTGCTTTGCGCCCAATGCAAGTAAAACAATGTTCTTAGCTTACGGCGTGCATACGTCTTCATGTATACATAAATATGTATATGTCCTTATGGTATATATTCGAAAATAAATATTTACTTTTCAGTTTACTAGAGGTTTGAATGGAAAATTGTTGCCTAAAAAGGTGAGTTTGGTAAATTTTCAAAGTTAACTTGTACAACTGCACTTTTATAGTAATTTAAATAGACGGATGTATGTATGTACACATATAATTTTAAGCACGTTTTTTGTTGCCTAAAAATTTTAAATTTTACAATATTAAATATTTTAAGAGTGGATTTACATTGGTAATACAAAGAACTTTGCTTCCTTTACATATAAACTAAAATATTCCAAAAATTTTACTATTTTGTGTTTTAAAATTTTTGCTTTTAATTTTTAAAGATAACCTTGATGACATTCTACTCAGAAAAATATATAAAATGAGATCACGTTATTAACGTACCGCGTTAAGATCTCAACCCTTGCTTGTGCAGTAGGTCCTCCAGCATCATGAAGGAAGTGCTCAGAAAAAAAAAAAAACTTAGGGAACTGCTAGGGATTTGGGAATAAGCTAGGGATTTGGTCAAACGATCTTTGTCGCTTATGTAACTCCGCCAAAGCGACATCTATGCACCTCCTCCTAGATTATGCGACCGTTTCTGGGAGAAATGAGAGGTACTTAAGACATCCATGGCCAAGAGAAGTGCACAAATGTACACTCTCTATCGCCGGGTTCTATTCTAAAAGTTATA